CACCCCTGAGTGCAGTAGCTTTGGGGCGGGTCAGGGGGGAGTGCGGGTGAAAGACAAGTCCAAAGTGTCTAACCAAAAACTAAAAGACTGTACCCCTTCCATTTTTCACTAGGGGTGATACTTCTCTGTATTAAGTTTTTTTGAACCTGAGTGCAAAATTGGCATGTGTGTCACCCAAACTTGTGTTAAAAATCCAGTCAGACATGGTAAGTTAAACAGTGGGTCTGTACAATTCCTAACAAATATCTTGATGTGTTTACCAGTGCTAATTAACTTGAAGCATTTAAAAATACTTCAGGTCAAACCATGTGCTCTAAGAGCTCTGTCCTTTAATAACCAGTTATTAATTCTAATTCCTGGTTATTAGAGAGAGAAGTTTTTTGTTTCCATCACAGACATTTCCCTGAATCTGATGTGGTGAAAATGCCTGCTGCTGACAACTGCAGGAGAAAATGAAAAGCAGCATCAGTAAGACAGTCTGCCTTCTGCACTCCTGACTGCTTTCTTCTGATAACTGTAGTGACCTTTGATCTTCATGATCTCCCTTGGACCATGCTGCCTATCTAATCTGGCTGCTTATTGCTGTTGTAGACATCACTCGCAGTCACAGTCAACACGTCCTACATGAAAAGCTGCTGTATCACCCTGAATCTAACAGCTGGGATATTCTTGTGTTACACAGAGAGGTCATATGAACTGTAGTCTAACAAACAAAGGTGGTACTGTTACAGTACAGGGCTCTCTCCTTCAGGTCCTTCCCGTAGAGGTTGTACTTCGTTGCTATGTAGTTGCTAATGGCTCTGCTCTGCACCATCTTCATTCCATCGATCTCCACCATTGGCACTTGCTGAAACAGCAGGGATCCATCTAGGGAAAAGGGGACAAGACAAGGAGACATTCAGTCTCTGAATGAGAACCATTAGTGGGTGTCTGGCAAAGTAACCACACATATTCTTTTTTATTTAGAATCATAGAATCGTTTAGGTTGGAAAAGACCTTTAAGATTATCGAGTCCAATCATTAACCTAGCACTGCCAAGTCCACCACTAAACTACGTCCCTAAGCACCACATCTACCCGTCTTTTAAATACCTCCAGGGATGGGGACTCAACCACTTCCCTGGGCAGCCTGTTCCAGTGCTTGATAACCCTTTCAGTGGCAGTCTTCCTCATTCTCACAACAAGGTGTAGAAAATGCCTACCATGAAACCCAGAACCATTTCTTAGTGACATGTTAATAACTTCATATTACAGCAATCAGCTTCTTGAAGTTTCTTCAAATCCATGGAAGGACCAAAATGCAGAACTTTTAGCAGTCATACACTGAAAAAAACAAGTCCCGCGCTGCATGGCCCTGACTCAGATGATTTTCATGGAGGTTAATACAGATGAGAAGGACTGAAGGATCTGAGCCAGTCAGTTTCTATCACACTTTGGAAAGTATTATGGAAATTGGGACTATTTACAGGCTTGCCAACATATAAATGTATATAATATCTTTGTGACTAATGTATTGACTTTATACAATGGCATACATCTGTATGGGCGTGAAGCAGGGAATAATGGGTGGGTTTCATGAGATTCCTGCAAGAGCCAAATATCACTTGGTGTAAGACTGTAGCCATGTAAATCCCTTACTAGTCTGCAGAAGCCTTATTCTAGCAAGGAAGAAGTCAAAATACCTCCAGGAACTGATCAGAGAAGCGAGTCAGAGTATTTGCTTTATGGAATCATATTTCTTGGCTCAGATAACGGATCAGCTACATCCGTCTTTGTATCCACTGTAAGGCAATCATGCAGAGAAACCGTCTGCTATTAAGGGCACATTTTCATTTATGCTTATGCCTCAAAATACTTTTTGAAAGCCCGCAGGTGGGAGGAGGATCAAGTCACTGTTCCAAAAGGAGAGCAGGACTGCAAATGCCAACCCTAGCTCAGACTTCTTTGAAAAGCCAAGTGAACTGGAAGAGTACAGACAACGTAATTTAGTTTGGAGGAAATGTGAATATCGTGTTCACAAAGATGGAAGCTAAAGATAGCAAGGTGAGTAGCTGCCTTGGGAAACAGGAATACATCAGAGGTACAGGTTAAGCTCAGAAATCTGGAACTCTGCTTTTCATACAGATTATAAAACAACAACTTTGTAGGCAACCTGAAATGCTAATGAATTTCAAGATGATCTGATGACAAAAACCTGTATTGTCGTAGGACAGGAGGCAATAGGCACAAACTGAAACAAAGGGGAGTCAATCATCTGAACTTAAGGAAAGGCTTTTTTACTGTGAGAGTGACTGAACACTGGCATGGGCTGCCCAGAGAGGCTGTGGAGTCTCCACCCTTGGAGATACTCCAGACCCAACTGGGCACTGTCCTGGGCAACTGACTTTAGGTGGCTTTGCTTGAAGAGGGGAGGTGGAGCCGATGATCTCGAGAGGTCCCTTCTGACCTCAGCCCTTCTGTGATTCAGTGAAGGCTGAAGCAACTGGATGGATGATACCATCTAAAACACTGCAGTGTACATCTATGACACCTCTTGTACAATCATAGAATGGTTTGGGTTGGAAGGGACCTTAAAGATCATCTGGTTCCAACCCCCCTGCCATGGGCAGGGACACCTTCCACTAGACCAGGTTGCTCAAAGCCTCATCCAGCCTGGCCTTGAACACTTCCAGGGTTGGGGCATCCACAGCTTCTCTGGGCAACCTGTTCCAGTGCCTCACCACCCTCATGAATTTCTTCCTTATATATCACCTAAATCTACCCTCTTTCAGTTTGTAGTCATTGCCCCTTGTCCTATCACTATGCTCCCTTGTAAAAAAAATTCCAGTCTAGATTTTCTTTTCAAGAGACGTAAGACTTCTTAACTGTTCTAAGACAAACAATTCTAATTATTGTTATTATTATCTAATTATTAAAAAGTGAAGGAAACTTACCCTTCTGTAACTTTGTCAGATCATCCTTTGTTTCCAGAAAACATTCTTCAAACTGCAGGAAATACAGAAGAAAAGTTGTGTTGTCACTGCATGTTTTAGCTTCTGCTTTCACGAGACAATGAGAGCACAAGAGAACACATTTTTAAAAAAATAAATCAGATTTGGAAGTGATATCTTTAAAAATTTATTTTGCCTCTGTCACATCCTCTCCTCTTCCCTCTCACATGTGATTCATATTTTTGTGCAGGTAAGATTTTGGCTAAAGCTGAGGTGGCTGAAAGGCACAAACCCCTGTCTGCTGAGCAAACGATGACCATGCCGCTTCTGTTGTCAGTGCTGGCCAGAGGTGGTGCAGGGAGAGGGGAGGACAGGTGAGTTCCCGCTGCAGCAGCAGAACTGTGGTATAGCTCCTTTGCCACAGGCTGGCAAAAGGAGGGACGAAGAGAGGAGATCGTGTGCCCCGTGCAGCTTTCTGGCACATTGCCCATCACCACGACAGAAGCTCACAGCTCTTAAAACACACAGATTGACACACTCCCTCTCCATTTTAATATCAGAAACCATTAGAGGTAAAAACAATTACTCTGTGGTTTATAATATACAGTGCCTTCAGGGGTAAGCTACAGTGTAATAGGCATAATAATTATTTGCTATTTCGGACATTGGGATTTAACTGAAGGTCTTTGGAGCTGAAAGTGCTCAACCCCTGTTATCAGAAGATAAGAAGCCAGGTTCTGCTGCGGTGGTTTTAAATTTTTTCTTTCACTAGCTACAGGGGAGAGGCATTTGTGGTGCTACCGGTTGGCTTGGCACATGATGCTTGGAAGTGAAATGGGAACTTGCCCCTCTGCTTAGGGTAAGCTAAGGGTCATTGTTGGCTTGGTCAGCAATGCACTAAATGCAGAGCTTGAAACTGCTGGTCAGTCACATTTTTTATAAGGAACAGTAAAAGTACATATTTGTCACATGCTCTTAGTATAAAAACCAGGGGCAAACCTCAACCCCGGCTGCTGCTAGAAGCCACCGTATTGATTCCATTCGGCCTCGTCCATTGAAGTAGTGCAGCTTGGGTTTCCCAGACATGTTTCCAGGTGCCTGATCTCCTACTATCTGGAATAAAGAAGTAAGTTTTGCAAAATAAAGATTCAGAATGATGGTTTTGAGTCTCTAACTGGTTCTCAGGCATTGTTCAAAGTTGTATTGTTTGAAACCAATGATTTATGGTCCAAGACACTTATCAAATCAGTAGAGGAGGTAAAAGACTATATTGAGAGACTGCACTGTATCATTTTACCTTAAAATATCTTTTATATGTGCAGGTTAGTTAAGCAGACCTCTGTACTGCGAGCGATCGGCCCATGTCAGAGAACAAGCAAATCAAAACCCATTTGCATCCCAAAGCATTCTGCTGTGACCAAAAAGCAGGCTGTGTGAGATGCACTGCTCTGTTTATTTTGGCATTATCTCAGGGTACAGTTTACTGTTTAATCAGACACACAATATAAACTCAGCAATTGCTGTGCTTTCTCCAGCAGCCATTCTGCTCCATTATAAAGTGACAGGAAAGATTTTTTTCCCCCCATTGTAAGCATTCAATCTCATTTGCAACACTCCCTGGTCTTCTCATTTCTTTGGGCAAGCACGTGAAGACGTGGAATTAAATTTTGTCTCTGGTAACGTTAGATTTGCCTTTACCACAGAGCCAAAGTGCAATACCTGCTGGGTTCAACTCCAACTCTTTGCTCTTTAAAGCCACAGCAGAATCTAGGCAGACTGTCATCCTCCCCAGTCAGAACCAGGGCGTGCACATCAGCAGCAAACAGGTAGACAGTGCCCAGTTTATGCTAGCTTCACAGTTACTAACATTGTGTCAGCAATAAAGCTACAGCAGCAAAAAGCAAATAGCTACAAAACCCACATATTCCCCTTGGAAGTAAGTAACACGTTATCTTCTCTACAGTAGGAAGAAGGGGGTGAGAGGAAGCACTCCACACTTTTGAGGTCTAGATTTCTTAAATCTCTACACCTAGAAAGCAGTTGATTAACAGTTTAACATTTGATGCACATAACCGTGTTAGTAAAGAAAGTTCATAGAAGCATTTAATCCATAAAACCCATTCACTGACTTAGTTTCTAGTACACTAATTCCCTATGCATGTCCAAAATCCAAAAAGCTTACCTTGTACAGGGTGTAACTCAGGCTAAGCTCTCAGTAGCTTTGCCTTGAGATTATATAGGTCTGTAGCCCCTCCTACAAAGCGATTTGCAAACAGTTCTCTGCCAATGGGAAACTCCTATTTCTTAAACGAACAGAATCAATTAGGTTTGTTTAGTCACTTCTCACCCACAGAAAATAAATTCCTGACTAATGCTGGCTGTGTATAAATGTAAGATTCACCAGAGGTCATGATCATTGGGAACATCTGTGCCAGCAGAACTTTGTATGCTTCCTATTTTCATTTGACTTGCTAGTCAAAGAAAATCAGAATGGCTGAAAAGCTCCCATGATTTAAAAAAATACTGTGATAGCAACCAAAATTTTATTTTAATATTTTATGGTTTTTTACTTTTAACAGATTGACGCTTTACATAAGTCACATCAACTAATTCAGCTTGAATCCTTCGTAAGCTTCCTTCCCTTCCTTAGTGGTGGGAGATATTCCTTCAGGATGTTTTTTCTGCTGAATTTCATTCCTGGACATAGAAGTTTTTTTTCTTTTTCTGTCAAAAATGTTTCCCTGAATTTGACCTGGTGAAAATGCACGCCAAAGACTGCTGTAGGGGACAGTGAATGAAGAGCAGCATCAGAAGACAAACTGCCCTCTGCACTCCTGACCGCTTTCTTCTGATAACTCTGTTGACTTCAAAGAGTCAATACAGCATAAACTCCTGTGCACCATCCTGCCTGTCTAATCTAGCTGCTTAGTACTGTTGTAGACATCACCCGCAGGCAAGGTCAATGCGCTATATAAAAATCTGCTGAATCACCCTGAATATAACTGTGAGCTCAGATGTTCTTCTCGTATTACACAGGGAAGTTGTATGAATTGTAGTCTGTCAAACAAAAAAATGAGTTGTCACAGTACAGGGGGCTCTCTCCTTCAGGCCCTTCCTGTAGATGTGCTTTGCTGCTATGTAGCTGAAAATGATCCTCATCTCGTCAGCCTCTACCGCTGGTGCCTGTTAGGCCAATGTCTTCCATGCTTGACAATAAAATAAGCGTAATTATTTATTTAGAGCTAGAACCACAGAAGGACAAGGCATCAAAATGGTCACCGCTACAACATCTTGTCTTTAAGGAGGTGCCTAGTCCCAAGTGGAACACTGTACCCTATAGGAACACTGGAGGTGACATCTGACAGCACATCCTATAGCCCCTGCCTTCTGGTTCGGGCTCTTTTCTTTCTTATTTCCCTCTGTCCCCTCCCCTTGGGAAGTTCTTCTCTCCAGCCTCTGAAAGCCTGCAGCAGGGCTCAGTCACCTACGCAGAGGTGTCCACGCCGCTGTGCATGTTTCAGGGCGTCCGCTGGCCTCCAGCTGCTGCTCCAGAGTGCCTGGCTCTGCGGCGTGTGCCACGGCATGATGGGCGGCTCTGCGAGGTGTGCCACGGCACGATGGGCGGCTCTGCGGCGTGTGCCACGGCACGATGGGCGGCTCTGCGAGGTGTGCCACGGCACGATGGGCGGCTCTGCGAGGTGTGCCACGGCACGATGGGCGGCTCTGCGGGGGTGTCACGGCAAGCCCCCGGCATCTGTGCTAAGTGCAGCGGAAGCCCGCTCTTGGTATCACTGTAGAATCACAAGCTGCCCACATTTTGTTTCCTGTTAACATCCACCCTGAAGTAATTTGTTCATGTTTTATAAGGAAACAGAATTCTGCATGAGAAGAATGTTTTATTTGCTTGCTTGAGAAGGGACTGCTTTCCCCTCTAGGCTTCTGGGAGTGCTGAAGTTTGCTGTTAGCACAGGTTTTTTTACAAGTAAAAGATCAAACCACACTACTGGAAACAGTGTTTCTGACATTGTTGGACAGACAGACATGACCCAGAATCTAGGATAATGTGGGAGACTGAAGCTTTCCCTGCATAATGTGCACCAAGGTGCATCTGGTAGTGTTTCACAAATCCAAACTCACTCTTTGGTAGCTTGGCTGGATTAATCATTTGGAGGCCTGGCCATGATAAACTCTAGGAGATATCCCAGGTCTAGTGTCTGCTCCTACAAGGACATCCACTGTGTCAGAGGACTGCGAGGTAAGAAAACATGAGTTCAAGATGAAAGTTAATCATGGTGTAGACAACTTGGGAAAACTCATCTCACCTAACTTTGTAGACGCCTACATCTAGTCTAGCTGTCTAGTCTCCTTTAAATAGGTGTAAATTCAAGTAGGAGGAATCCCGCACCATGCACTTGAGCTACAGCTGCTATCCAAGCCAAAGCCTGCAGTATGCACTCGAAAGGTAGAGGGATGCTGTCTTAACTGAGGCAGTCAAAAGTGTAGATGAAGCCAGTCCCTTCAACCGTCCCTCACAGGTAGGGGAGAGGAGTAGTAGTCTTCAGGGGGTGTTTTATCCCAATACGGACATTTCTTACCCTATCAGAGGTGTCCATCAAGATTTCAGGCAAGTCCTCTTCAGCACAGTTACTAGCCTAAATAAAAGTGAAAAACACAATACAGTCTGTCTCCTAACTTAACAGGACTGTTGGAAATGTCACTTCACTGAGCTTGTATTTTGGGAAATGCTACAGAAGCGTCATTTGTATCTTGCACAGCTGAAAGCATCTGATCCCTTAAGTACTTCTAGGCTCAGACTGATCATCCAGGAGTTAAAACTAGGGGAAACCTCAAAGATACCCTAATAACTTAGGAACGAATATTCACCCCAGCTGCTACCATTGCCCACCAGCTTGTTTCCATTTAACCTCTTCCTTTAAAACAATAAGGTATAAATATATATTTTTTAAATTTGTTTTTTTCAATTTTTTTTTTTTTCAGACATGATACTGATTTCTTGAGAAAACACTGGGAAATGTTTTGTGTCATCAGGCTTTGTGAACTTTCCTGTCTGTATAAAACATATCAGAATTATGTTGATTTGGGTTGGAGCTGTCTTCAAAATTATGAGCCAATATTTAAAATGTGCTGGCAAGGGAAATAGGTGCACACACAAACTGTTGTGCCTTATTGTATTAGCAGGGGGAATAGGGGGTGTAGAGAAGGGAGCCTCATCTGTGGCTAATGAGACCTGCTGGGATGTGCCCAGCCCTGCCGTGCTGCAGAACGGCAACGCAGCTCTGGGGTCTCATATTATTTAAAACAAATGCCCCATTTGTTGTTGTTTTTCCAAACTGGCGCTGCCTGTGTTCAGCGCACTTGAAAAGTGCAGCTCACGCATCGTGTCCCATGAAACGTTTCTCCACACTGAATTACGCCCTCCAAACCCAGCAGGGTAAGTGTGCAATGTAACCCTCTTATAAACCCAGGAATATGTTTACAAAAGATAGCCTTGCAGAGGGAAGAGAGAAATTAAAAGAAGCAAAATGTCCTTTTCTCCAGTGATCCTCATGCTGACTTAACACTTGGCTTCAGGTATGTGAAGGGCATTAGGTGTTATTCCGAACATTTTGAAGAAGAGTGAGTGGGTTACCTAGAAGCGGGCAGGTGTTCCCAGTGCTACTGAGCTTGAATTTTTTGACCACGATGTATTTTTGCCAGTGGTTCCTTACATGAAGGTTTGAATGAGAAATGCGAGACCTTGCTGAAGCAAACCCAAAGCAACGCTGTGATATTCAGTGAAAATTAGTGACTGTCTTTCTCTGGCTACCATCAGCAGCTCCTGCCATCTCCATGTGAGGCAGTCAGAGACGATTGTCAATGGGTTATTACCTGCTCACCGCTGCTTTTAGAGCTATCTCTCCACATAACAGCATGTTAAGCTCCAGGAAAACACATCCTCCGCTTTCAGATTTCCTTCTAATTCCCTCTAGAGTGCTCCTTTTCTCTCTCTCTCCTGCTTAGTTTGTAACCTTAGTTTGTGTCTTCTTGGCAAATTCCAAACTGTCTCACTTACCTATGATTATTCCCTATTTTCCCCTCCATACTTCCAGCCCCTGGGCCTTTCTCCTTTCTGGATGTGGTTCTCTCCCCATGGAGGCAGTCAGCATGTAAGAACAGAGAGTAGCGTGCCATCGGCAGGCAGGCCATTCAGGACTTCCAGAGCATTTCACACCTGAAAACACTCTCTTTAGCATCTTTCCACTTCTTTTTTCATCTTTCCATCCGACAGCACAGAAAGGATCCTAATATTTATACAAATTCAGGGGTTCCTTAGATCACTACTAGTAATTATTTCAGAATTCTCCTCTCTGAAATCAGTGTTAAGGGATTAACTTCCTTTGTGATTATCCCTCCAAGCCCACTCAAGCAATAACACGATACAAACCAGCACGACTCCACTCTAAGGTCACTTATGGCCTAACGTGAAGGTGCGTTGACGGTTTCAACATCTGACCTGCAGGTCCTCACTATCCTAGAGTGAGATGCCAGCCACTTAACTCTGCTGGCACTTAACTCCCCAGGCGTTATTGGGAATTTAAAAGTGGAAAATCGATGGGAAATAGAAGTTCTGTTTTGAAACCCGAAGTGGGCATGGAAGGGAAGACTTAGGCACCAGGTACCAGAAGTCTATAATTGTCTGCCTTCTCCCGACAGTGATCTCCAGCCCTCTTGCTCCATGGAGCCTGGAATGTGCCATGTGTCTTCCTAAACTGCTTGTGCTCTCTGCTCCCACAGTTGAAGACAACGTATGTCCTATACCAGTGGGAAATGCAACTGTTTTTAACAGGTTTTCATACCTCTTACAGGGTTAAGCTGCAAACAGGGTATGCTAGCATTTTTCCAGCACCCTTATTTTCAGAAGATGTACTCTCTTGTTTAGCTTGCCTAAAACTTGACAACACTAAGGGACACTTTTTTGTTTTAAAATCCTGGTTACAAAAGTAAGAAAATTTTACAGGAGGGCCCTACCTTATACACACTTGTGAATAACTCACATAAGGATATTTTCTACTTCAGTTCTATTTATGCTTAAAGCATAAAGGTGCACTTGAATACACACTAGCACTCACTGGTTGAGTTAGAGCTGTACTTAAGCCTCAGATGAACAAAGATAAGTTTCAGTGTTTTTAGGTCATAGCCGAAAAGCTACACAATTGTGTCAAACATAATAGTAAAAGATGTTACCTGCAGAGCATGTTCAGTTAGAAACCCCACTTCATCTAGTTGCACCCTAACAGACATAAATAATTAATTAATTGTCCTTTTGCAGTCTGCTGCATGGGAGAGGCGTGGGGGAATGCTGGAGAGTGAGCAGTCTCAAAAGGAACTTCGTTCTTATGTTTTCTCCCTACCAGGTTCATTTTCCAATATTTTTTTCTAATTTCCTTTTTTTTACACTTCTCTCATGGCAATATTAAGCATCAGATTTGGTTACTGACATCTGCTGGAACAGTTTCCTTCTATGCAGATGCTGCTCTGCCGCATCAGGCCCCTTCACAAGACAGATTTTGTCTGCTGTAAAGGTATATAAGCCCTAATACTTTTGTTTTAAAAATAACAGAGGCTGAACCTCTGTCGCTCTGTATTCTGTCCTACAGCTGTAGAAATAAGCTACCTGAGTCTGCAAAACAGATTGCTTGTTTATTCCATGGCGCTTCGTTCTCAGGAGATAATATATTTGTAACCTGCACATGAAATGCTGGTAAGATCATACACAAGGTTTGAAATAATTGATTTATAAAGAAAAATAATCAGTTTTGCAAGGAAAACTTTGCAGAGAGATCTTTAAAAATCCAATTCACCCACAGTCCTTAATTTAAAGATGGTATATTAACTACATTTTGACCTGTTACAGGTGTGTAAGCAAGTGAGGTACCAACCAGTTCACAGTAATTCCACTTCCATGTTCAAAAGCCCATCCTCTTGCTCAGCGTGGAGAGGTAGCACCCACACAGATTGCATGGAGACGTACATCGCTACGCTAGCAGCTGCTGGGGAGGTGGCATCCCTGCATGGGCAGGCATGCAGTGACTTTCTTTTTGGGACAGCACAGAGGTGGCTGGTGACACGAGGTGGCAGGGTGCACCACAGCACCGCAGCCACATGGGCAGTTCACCTGTGGCATTGCCAACTGTTAATAAATCCAGGTACTTTTCCTGTAAAATCCAGCTTTCTGACAGACCTGGGAGTCTTTTGGGTGGTATATTCTTCATTGCTCACATTGGACCAAAGTCACTTTCCAAGAAACCTTAAATAGTTTTTTAGTATAGAGATAAGGAGCACGGCTCACTAAAAGATTAGAGAACTTACCTGCACAAGGAGAGATTGATAATAAGGGAAATTTAGGCAACTTTATTGCACCTTTAAGGCACCTGAGATGTCCTAGCCATGCAACCTGTGCTGCTCTGTGACCCCACTCCTCCTTTCCCCATTGCCACTCTGTGAATCACCTCCACCATTGCAGACAGGCCTTGCTGGGAGGAGCTGTGACCACCTCGGTGTCACTGGTCCCACCACATTGCCACGAGGGCAATGCCGAAGCAGCAGCACCCCTAAGCTGCCCGCACTTCACCCTGTGCAAACTGGCAGCTGAGGCTCAGGTTTTGCCCTCTGGAGTTCTCCGAAGATCACATTAAAGACGAGGCAGTGCCAGGGCACGGGTGCTGGAAGACACCATCTGTGTAACTGAACTGACGGCGGCTCGCTCAGGGGCTATTGGCCCATGCCTGCTGCTCTCGCCCAGACAGCTCCCAGCCACTGTCAGTCCACACCAGGGCCCAGCCACAACAGGCTGTTTGGATGTGGTTACACAGCTTTGGGTAATAAAAGAGTGTAATAGTGTGTACATGGCCTCAGAGACAGGGAATGGAGCCTGGCGCTTCTTGTTTCACTAGGACAAAGATGTAGCTGGCTGTTGGTGTCCAGAACTGGGTCTAGGAAGCAGCTGAGAGTCCCCCAAAATGGCAGACGAATGCACGGAAAGAAGCATGAACAAATATTGAACCTGAGGGATGGTCTGTCCGAGAGTGTGGTCTGCCCACCCCATCCTTTGAAGAGGTTCATCACGTGAAGAGGTGCGCAGACTCTGGTGCACTGGGAACAAGGAAGTAGGTTTGCCTGGAAGAATCGCATCCAAAAGGTGGAGGAGGAAACTAATGGAACATTATAAGAGCTGGTTCCTAGGCAAGGTCTGGGGAGTATGACAGCCCAAAGAGATTCGGCTTTGGTAACAACAGGTGAAACTAATATTAATTTAGAAGTTTCACTCACACAATTCTGTAAAAATAATGCAATATAAGTACTTACCAAAATTGCTCTTGAAACAAGTCTACTTCTTTAAAGGATAAGTGATTCAATGAGTCTTCTCTTTCTTCTCTTCCGTAGCTCTTATTCTGAAGCCTATTTTCATCCAGAAAATATCTTCTTCAACAAGTTACATTCTGACAATACTGACACTGCATCAGTCTTTTTCCAAATGAATAAATTCCCTACCTTACAAATAGTTCTTTGCTTCCATACTCCTTTGTTTTCATGTTTTGCCAGGTATTTGTTATCAATAAAGACAAATCTGCTGTCACATTGCCAGAGTAATCAGAATGCTTTATTTAAGTTTGGGTATTTTTTTTACCACCATTGGTTTTAACTACAACAATACTAATTTACTGAGCTTCCTACTTCCTTTGGTTTAGGATTTGGGTTTTTGGCTTCGTTGGTTTTTTTCAGTATTTTGGGTCTCACTGAAGGTAGCAAGGCATTCATTTCTTAAAAATCTTCAACACAGTTTCTACATAACGTTCATCTGGTGGGGGTTTCCTCGGGCTTCCAGGCTGCAGGAACTTCTTAATTGTAGGCATATTGCTGGTTCTTATTTTAAAAGCCTAAAAAATAAAAACAACAGAGTAAGAGAGAAATTCCAGCTAGTCCAGTAGCAAACAGTGCTCCTTGCACAGAACAACTGCTTCCCCCTGCTGCTAGAAGGGATCCTAACAATCATTCAGCTCTTGTGCCATCTACAGTCTCCTTCTGCCCAACAGGAGGACCCAGCTGCTGCAAAAAGCCCGTTCTTACCGATGAAGGCAGGACTAGAGCAGACGATATCTAAATCTCTGCTGCCTGAAAGAAACTGAAGGCAAAAAATCAATATCCGGGAGCACCAGGGGATAGTTTTGAAGGTACAAATACACTAACCCCGCTCATGACCTTTTTCTTTTCATTGCTGGTTCTGATGGTGTAAACTACCGTGTGGTGTGGGCAAACCACAATATATGTTAACATGATTTCCATTTTTACTACATTGTGTAAGTAGCTGAGTTCTGTTTGCATCTAGCATGGCCACTGTTGTCCCACTGTACCAGCATTTCTAGGATTGCGTAGGTGAAGGTGAAATAGCTGGAGGCATCCTTAGCTCAACTCAGTTGTCCAGTAGAGGCTTCTTGTACTGTGCTGTAGCCTAGGGTCGCCAAAATATCTACATAGGGCTGGCAGGTCTAACACAACCCCTCGGGGAGCCCTATTGCCTTCTGCAGCAGTGGCTGGAGGCCAAGATTAGGATTAGGGAAGAGTTGGGCATCCCGGGTAGCAAGAGACATCTGTGTTGAGGCAACTGAGTCAAGGATCCTGAGACATCTCTTTGTACAGACAGTCAGAGAGGACTCACTGATGCAGACTGCAAGCAGGTGGAGACCCCACGGTTAGCTGAGCAAACTTAGATACACAAGAACCTCTTCTTACAATGGGGCTAAGGGAGCGGAGCTTCACAGAGTGACAGCCCGTTCTTGCTGGCAGATGTATGAACACAAGCATTGCAAGAGGCTGCCCAGGGAAGTGGTTGAGTCCCCATCCCTGGAGGTATTTAAAAGGCGTGTAGATGTGGTGCTTAGGGATGTAGTTTAGTGGTGGACTTGGCAGTGCTAGGTTAACGGTACTCAATGTACAATGTAGGTTAACATTGTACTCAATGATCTTAAGGGTCCTTTCCAACCTAAACGATTCTATGATTCTATAATAATTTCCTCTTCCTTACAGGCAGTGGAAGGATAAGGGGGAAATACAAGAAGGAGCAAGAAAAGTAAAAACTGTGAAAAAAGTAACCACCAATTTTAGAAACTTTTCCCTTCTGGCAGTGAAGGAATCCCTCCATAATTCAAGGCACAGCTTCAACAGAACCGTGCCCATGCCTAGTGGCTAAGATATCTTGTTAGAAGATGGGAGCTAGAGGCAAGAATTACCTGAGGCTGCAAAACTGCATATGGGATAAAATCTGACACACGTTACTGCCCACTTCGTGGCTGAAGTGCCTCATTCTGTCACACTAAATTCAGGCTTAAACTGTTGGGGTTGGGATTTAAAAAAATTTTTTTAAAGTAATTAAAAAAAAAATCAAAGGCCTTTTCCTCATCAGTTCCAAGCAGAAAACCTAACTGTGATAGTCTGCTGCTGAACTGTTTCTTTTGTTAATGGGAATAAAGCCGAAGTCTTTGAGGGCACCCCTCAAATTAACAAAGAAGCATGACCTCAAGCCTTGCACTCTTAACCCAAATTTGCATTGCCTACACTGCTTTACTAGCATGATTGCAGGCACGTGGGAGGAGTACTGAACACTAACATCTGCTTTGTTCAAGTCACAGGCTACTTGGGTCCACTGTGTCTCAGCTCTTAATGACTCCTGCAGGTCATGCCCCAGGCTTGCCCATGCACCGTGCTCTATAGTATGCTGGATGCCTGGAGGCTTCTGATTTCTGGTCAAGTCTCACAGCAGAAGTGCCTCACTTCTGCTTGGTTTCAGACTTTGTACATGGCACAAAGGCAGAGAATTCATCCTCAGTTGTATTGAGTTGATTATTGAGAGAAAACTGTGACTTAATGCTAAGGCTTGAGTTTCTAGTCATACTGTAGAAGGCAGAAGAAAAGTGAGGTTACTGGGATCCCAAAATTGTAATATCAGCCAGTACAGAAAATGGCACACTGTACCTTATTCTAATGTGTCAACCTGTATCACAGACTTAATTTGTTATCTGGTATTAGATAGCATCTACTGGCAGGAAAATGAAAACAGGGCAGCTTGGATCAGTGATTCCCTTGGGATGACATTAATTTATTTCTACTGAGGAGGCATATACCACTGAAAGAGGGACAGGCATACCTGAACAGCGTTAATCAGGAGCACAGTGTCTTATAACAAACCAGCTAAATCAATTCCCTCTTGTGCTTGGATGTTAAGCAAACATATGGTAGTGACAGTTCCTCGAAGAGCCCACACTCCTGATTTACATAGCATGGAGAGATGATCACTTCAGGGTTGCCCTCTAGCTCCTGAATACAGGCATGCTCAATAAAAAAAATTACCTGCAACTGAGGAAACCCAGACAGCACAGCAGGTATTTTCTCCTCCACTGCTAAAATGGCTTCAATTAGCTGAACATCTGCCCAGCTGAATTTGTTGCCCACGAGAAAGTCTTGGCCATGTTGTTTCAAAACCTGTAGAATGCAAGAGAATCTGGGCTGCAGATGAGAACTGGACATATGATGCCTGGTAGCTAAGCCTCACAGCACAGCTGCAGAGCTGAACAGCGATTATATCTAAATTTCAGGGTGGAGTTTTCAGCTGGAAGCTGTGAGCCTAAATCACTTCATTATTGTTGGGAAAAAATCTGAACTCTTGTAGTACACAAACTTTGGTCACTCAGTAATGATGAATTATGATAGGCACTGGGAAGAGGGACAAAACCACGCGCTTAAATAGACTAGTAACAGTCATAGAATTAGAAATAGGGGTAATGGAGGAACTAAAGAGTAACTTGGAGAATTTATAAAATTGCCATTTAGGTATTTCATTTAAAGTTATGTCCAATGTGGATACCAGGAAGCAAACTTAGAAACGCAGAATTACAATAGCTAACCAAAGAAAATCCCTGCCTTTGGGAATAAGTTATTATAGTCATAAGAACTTCTAGGATGTTCAGCCTTTATGAGTGTTTTCCATCAAAACTAGATGAATGTTACAAAAGTGAGAAGTGTTGCCAGATGCCTGAGTCATATGGGTTTGGTTTGTTGTTTTCGAAAGTGGGATGTGCAGAAATCTATGACTGTTGTTTTACTAAAGTAGTCCTAATCTCTCTACCTGATTTATTTGCAAGGGACTTTTGTATTCTTCCTAGGAAAATATTCCAACTGAAATTAAGTAGAGCAGAGAGATGTGCTCTAAACAAACCTAAGTGTGGAACTATCCCCTCAAGGAAAAAAGAAATCATATGTGCATGCTTTTCCTTTAGTGAAAAGTTTTGCTGTATAGCTGAGAACATATTGCTTTGTTTGCTTTGTAGGTGTTCAAACACCACAGCCCTGACAACACAAGGCAAAAAACAGAGAAAATGTGCTGCTGTATTTCACCTTCTTTGAGAGAGCCAAGAAAGCTGAGGATTTGGAACTGACCTGCACTACAAACATGCTCTTATTTGAGGGAATCTTTTTGATAATTGTAAATACAAGTTTTATAGACACATCCTCACTGTCATTTACCTTTTCAAAGACTGGGAAGTACCTGTTGGTTGCCCTCTCCTTAATTGAGTCAAGATTTTTCTCCTTTGCCTCAGGTGGAGAGAAAGGAAACATCAAAATCATTTGCATCAGATCTGTTATTCCTTCCACATACATGTCAATCCTATTGGGAAGACAGTAGAAAAGAGCAGAGAAGTTATCTCATTTTTTTTCCAATTAATTAAGGCAACTTATAGGAATTTTATATCACCACCATAGTGCCAATTTTCACAGCCAAAACTAAACGTAAACTAAAGCTAAATATTTTTTAAAAGGACTAAAAGCCTGTTTCTGTTCAGCAGCATTTCAGAAGCAGTGGTTAAAACCTAAGCAAAGGCTAGAGTCCTTGCTTTTTATTGTGTTAGCCTTTCTCATGCCTTTCTACTGGATTTACAGGGCTGAATTTGTTATATATAATGCAGCTATCAAATAACAGATTGCTCATTAAGTGAAAGGAAGTGTTACGGTACAGGGCTCTCTCCTTCAAGTCTTTCCCATAGAGATTGTATTTCCCTGCTATGTAGCTGAGGATGGCTCTGGTCTGCACCATCTTCATCCCATCGATCTCAACCAGGGGCACTTGCTGGAACATCAGGACTCCATCTAGGGTGGAAAGTTGAGGGAGAGCTTGTTAGTTCCTCCCAGACTGCTAGCTTTACAGGAGAGCGAGAGGCTGAGCACATTTCTTTTGCAGTGTAGGAGATCATTGATGTCTTGCCCTAACTGTAAAACTCCATGCAGTAAACTAACATTGTGGGAAAGACCAAATATTAACTAGTCTGTCTCACACTTTTGTAGCTAGGTCATCACAGTGCAGCGGGGCCCCTTGCTCTACAGCATGGCCAGAGCTTCACTGGCTGACGGGCGCTGGCACCGCCTGCCTCTCTGCGCTTCTGGACCCTGCCTCATGCTGGCAGGAAAAGCCTGAACCAGCGCTTTCAGCCCACGGGATCAGAGAAGAATAAAGGTCTGTGTTAAATCTGAACTCCAAAAAAACGCAATGTATATGTCCCCTCGCAGGGACATATACATATGAGAAGAAATTACGAAAGGGGTAGTACCGCAGCAAGACTGAGCTGCTGGGATAAAGGAAGAGGTCAGGCCACTTTAAACATCGTGAAGCTACAGAGTTAGAGGCAGGGACTGTGACAGCAGTTGCTGTTTAAGTTTTACACAGTCCAGGGACAAGAGTTTGATTGTCCCCATAGATTTTCATTACAGGGCTATCCTCGGTGTCATTCCACAATTTAAGCCTATTTAGATACACCACCACAATCCCTCCCTGCCTTTGTAGTCCCATCTTCTCCTGGTGCTGGTAGAAGCATTTGTCTGAGCCTTCAGTGAGGCAGCTCTGAGAGCTAAGCTGACGCAGAGATTCGGCATAGCAAAGTCACTCTTTTCTAGACCAGTTTTCTGCTGGACTAATTCACTGTCTTTGGAGATACTCCCTCCTCCATTTACACATTAAGGGCATCCAGAGAACAGTCCCGCCCCCTTAAAATCACAGCAAAACTCCAGGTCTAACTAGGCAGCTGCCGCTTTGCATTGCTCAAAGTTAATCATTTATTTTAATTGCTCAATTTTAATCTCTTCATTGCATCCTTCTTTCAGGTACAAGAGTTCACTTTAACAGGCATGTCTGTCTGCTTTTTTCTCCACAGAGCAATTAAAATACTTTGCTAGCCTAGAATTAATAAACATTCTTCACTCATTCTGTATTATTAATTTATAGTTTAAATTCAAAGAATAGTTCTCTCTGCAGCAACGAATAACCTGTGTTTTTTTCTTGTAAACATTCACAGAAAGATTGTGGTTTTGTGTCTTTCCAGAACACACCTCTGCAGCTTAAGGAAAAAATATTACTTGGTATCTATCTAGCAGAAACACAGGAGAACGGGAAAACCAACAGCTCTGCAAGGATATTTTTCAGCAGAAAGATGCACAAAGTGAAAAATAAAATCTGACTTTCTCGCCCTTGACAAGAAGTGTGATGCAGCAAATGTGAGTGAACTGAACGCAGTTTGTTTAGCTACAGAAAAGAGGGATTTCTCTCTTGTGACCAGTAGCAGACTGTTTCTCTTCGCTTTGAAGTGAGAACCACTTCACATAGCCACTGCACAGAATACATATGCAGGATTAAAAAGCAGTTTGCCAATCGTGCGGATTGCATTGTGCTGTCTGAAGGTGGTCTGTGGAGCAGATGCTAAAAACCAAACATCTAGACCTACTATTTGTCACAGACCAGCAGAGCTTCTCGAAAACCAGGTAGCAACTTGGGGAACCTGTGGCTGCACAGATTGAGCCAAGATAGTTGTCTCTCAGGCCAACGGGTAAAGGTCTGGCCAGGCTGATGCTATTTGACTCTCTTGGCCTCCAAAACAGCTGTCCGTCTGCAAGCTGCCTGTTGGGAACAGCCCCTGGCCCAGGCTTCATCCTGGACACCGCTGGGGCATTGCCTAGAAGATCATCAGCTGGCATGGGCCTAAGTCATGCTTGGACCATTCTGACAATGTGGTGGTGTCTAAACACAGGATACCCTGGCAAAAAGCATGGTGGTA